GAATTTAGGACAGCCTAAAGCCATTAACACTGTTCACAGGATCCATCACTTCTGGGCTTGCTTTGTCTATCCACAACGTTAAATCTGTCTCTATGACTTGGTGTTGGCCAAAGCTTGATGGGCAGAAGAGACCACAGAGGTTAGAGACCAGGGTCTCATCCTGATCCACGGTACCTCTGGGGTTTAGGAGTGGCTGTGCTGGGCTGTGTGAAGGAGAGCATGACACAGGAGCAATGAGTTATGTCTCAGGTGCTGGAAAGGAGACCCAGCTGCTGGGTGATGTGTTTCTGAGTGGCTGAAGTGAGATGCAGTGATTTATATGTGATGACACTTCCTCAAACACACGGAACTGAGAAGTACCCACTTTTATTCCCTCTTAGTAATTCCTGAAGTGCTTTGAAGGTAAATAACTCAGAAATGACTGCGGTGTGTAAAATCAGAGATGTGAAACCTGCTCGGACATTCCTCCCTGTGGGGCTCCCTGCTCCCCTCGTTAAGTGTTGAACCAGAACGCTGATGACAGCCGGTGCTGCTCGGCTTAACGCTGTCACTGCTGCCACGGCTTGGAAAGGAAGCGATTTTCACCCCCCAAAGCGCCTTCAAACCGCGCCGGTGGAGCCCTCAGAGATCCTCCCTCTGCAGGGCCCATGCTGCCCGCTCCTTCCCCAGCACCGGCGCTTCCCCGCTGTCATGGTGGATGTTGCTGGCGGCCCTGACGGCGGATTTCATGGCGGTGTCGATCCAGGCGTGGGGCTGAGCCGTGTGCTCCCCTGCGAAGTGCACCCGGCCCTGGTGCTCGAAGAGGTCCCGCGCGTAATCAGTGAACTGGTAGGGGGTGAAGGCAGCGAATGCCCCCCGCGAGTACTTGTCCAGCTGCCACTTCTTGATGACGTGCTGGGTGCAGGTGTCCTGCAGGTGCTCCCGGCTCACCCCGTGGATGGCCGCCAGGTCTTGGAGGACCACCTCCAGGCACTTCTCGTCCGTGAGAGGCAGGAAGAAGTCGGCGTCGTCGTTCCAAGTGTAGGAAGCCAGGATGACGCCCAGCCCGCTGGAGAAGTTGTGGCTGGGGTAGTAGATGAAGCGGGAAGGGCGGTCGGTGATGGATTGTCCCCCTCGGATGCCGTCCCGTTCCCAGAACTTCTCCTTGCAAACCAAGGCGATCTTGGAGGAGGACGCGTAGTGCAGGGAGCGCAGGGCATGGGCCTTGGGAGCTGAGAGGGGTGGCAGGAATTGGATGTGCCTGGTGGCCCTGGTGGTGGAGGTGACCAGGACGTAATCTGCGGTTACTGTGGTTGGGGCCAGCGTGTCCGGAGCATGGTAATGAACGTGGACTTTGTTCCCCTTCCTGACGATCTTCTCCACTGTGCAATTGAACTGGATGACGTTGGGCAATGCTCTGTGGAAGGCTTTGGGCAGCTGGTCAAATCCTCCTGTGATCTCGTCAAATCTGAAAGGAGAAGAAGATGGTGAGGGAAAAACACTGGGGTTCAGGAGCTATAAAACCTGAGATGCTCTAACAGAGCTCGGTGGCCCTTTGGGTCGGGAGCGATTCCCATTGAGACACCCAAGTGCCACTGGCATCTCTGCCGGTGGCTGCTGGGGCCCAGCACAAAATGGGGTTTGCCATAGGAGACGTGGTCTTACCTCTCATCAGAGAAGATGTCAAAGCCCCACAGGGAGTCCAGGAAGGACAGGTAAAACCCCGAGTCCTCGTTCAGGAGGTCACCGATCATCTGGACCGCTCCTCGGCTCAGATTCCCTACTTTGATCAAATACTCCTGGAAAAGCCAGGAAGAACACACAGCCGGATGTTATTGTCCCATTGCTTTATACCCCAAGCCATATCCATGCCCTGCTGCCTTGTTCCTGCTCCTGATCTGCTTAAAGCCCAGACCAGAAGCAGCTTCTTGCAGGAGCCCAATGGCTGCACTGGTTTAGCAGGACAGAAGTTCGGGAGATGGATGGACAGGGATCTGTGGCTTTGAGGCAGTTGGGCCACAGGAAGATGCTCAGTAAATGCTCCCCAGTGCTTGGGGAGACCCATGATGGAGGAATATGGTCAATCTGGATGAATTCCCAGATCCTTTCTCCAAGCAGGGATGGCGGGTTAAGAATCAGTAGAGGGAAAATAAACTCAAGCCCAGGCTTTTACCTTGGTGGAGAAGGAGTCGTATTTAGTTAGATACTCCTTGCAGTCTGTATCCTGGAACTCCTTCAAAGCCTGGAGGGGAAACAGTGATGTATTAATGAGGAGAGAAAGCGCATTCCCAAAGTGCTTCCATGGATTCGGTTAGCATTGGCCGGGGTTTGGTCACCCCTGGAGCTGAGTTAGAGATAACGGATCCTGCTGCTTGGGCCTCAGTCTGGGAAAGTTATGGCCTTAACGTGACATCTTCTGCTTCATCCAAGGCTTGGCGAGTGCTCCAGGGAAGAGAACACATATAAAGAGGGTTTCAATTAGCTGCCCTTGTTTCTGAATGAGCCTTTCTAAGGCTAAAGGGCCCTACTCTTCCTCGGCTCATTGCTGAGTCTTCCTCAACCCATCGTGCAGATGAGGGTCCACCAGGAAACAACATCAGTGTCTCCTGGATTCCCTTCTCCGTGGGCACGTACCTTGTGCAGTGCTTCCCGGTACAGCTGGTCGGCACTTTTGCCTCTCTCCGATGGCTCCACGGGGTAGTTGAGGATATTGGGGTTGCTGTTCACTTCCTTGGCTCTTACCCGAGTGCCGTTCACCAGGTACCAAGTGTTCTCATCGGTCTGGATGAAGGGGTTTAGCTTCAGCTCAAACTGCCTGATGAACTCCCGGACCAGCCTGAGAGGTGAGGAACAGAGGGACGAGTGCTTGCAAACAACCAACCCCAAAACCCAGCCCCTAAGGCAAGAGGAGCATGAAAGGACGCTTTCCCCTTGGGTACATTGCTGTAGCCATGTGTTGTGTTGGCAGTGTGTTGTGACAGCCCCTTCCTCCTGCTGCCCCACACCCATACCCAAGTCCTCATCTCAAACCTCAGCCTTGCTCCTTGAGTGGGCTGGCTCCTCCTCTGATGATGGCTATGAAGCAGGGCACCTCCTTACCTGTGCTTGGTGGGCAGGCGCATGGGTCCCAGATCCATGTACCAGTCCTGCCCCTCGGAGCGGTATGTCCTGATGCGGCCACCAACCCTGCTGCTGGCCTCCAGAACAGTGACCTGCAACCAGAGATGGGTGAAGATCGGACACGTTCAGGCAATGCAGCTATTTTAAGCAGAATACCTACAAAACAAGCTCCTAGGCATGGTGACAGGCAGCATTCATGGGCCATAGGGTGGGACAGGTCCCCTCCAGGTGACAAACGAATCCTTCATAGATCCAAACCCCTCCCTTGCGTTCCTTTGGAAACCATCTAAAGGAGCTGCTTGGTGTGAAGCTCCCCTTCGTCCCCTCCTGTCCCTGTGCCTAAATCAGATGAAATCACCAGAGCCCAATTGTTTTTCCTTCCTTTTCCCACCACTGTGATCCATTCCCTTCTCCCTCTTCACATTGGAAACCCCTCAGACCCAAAGGCACTCATGTCTCATGCAACCACTGACCCTGTGGCCAGCATCTCGGAGCAGCTTCGCCGCTGTGAGCCCACTTATCCCTGCACCAACGATGACCACATCTGCTGGGTGACTCGCAGGCTCCAACCCATGTTTAACGATGTCCAGCAGCTCTTCATAGTCTTTGTCATGGAGACAATACTCAGGGAAGCATGGGAACCTCTTGGCACTCAGGAGACCTGCCAGCAGGAGGACTTGGAAGAGGACTGGGGAGAGAAGAGAGGAGAAGGCTCTTGGCAATGAGCATGCAGGCTCATTCCTAACAGCCAGGAGTGTGACAGCACGGATTGCCTCCAAGCACATTGGCGTCCAAGCCCCAAAGAGGAACAGTATCAATGCGATTCAAGTCAACTGGCATGGCTATTCTCTATGGGATCAGCAGGTCTCCCAAGATGCCAGATGCCAAGTAATGTCAGGAAATGTGATTCTGAAGGAGAAATCAGGCCCATTGATGATTTCTTTTCTTTCCCATTCACGTTCTGCTTTTGTGAGCTCCCCAAATGAGTTTGAGCCCCTTTGAATAAGCTCTGAAGAATCCATAATGAAGGAGGGTCGTTAGTGCCACTCACACACAAAGAATTGAGGCAGTTTTGTCCCAGTTGCCCTTTCCTATGCCTTAGTAATCCACGGCAGTTTGGATGCAGTGGGTAGGAGGAGAAGACAATAGTTTATTGATAGGTGCATTCTATTGCATAGAGAGCTGGACAGATGAGCCAGAGATGGCAGGGGATAGGGCTTATCCATTGGAATCAGATAAGACTCCAGCCCATCCAGAACAACCATCCCTACCACACCAGAAACATTGTCCCAGGGGAAGGAGGTTTGAACAGAAACCTGGGATTTCACCAGTTTTGGCTTCAGTTCTCCCAAATAACTTCAATAACTTTCATTTTCTTTTCCTTCCCCGAATACGGGTGGTTTCCTGCCAGACAATGAGAGAAAAGGTTCTGAAATCCCACCCTGGGTAGTTCTCCCTTCTGGAATGTTCCTGCTGGATCAGCCTCAGAACTGTTACCCTGCAGGTGACTGTTGGGAACCAAAGCCCAGCTCCTCAAGCAGGTCCTTCTGCAGCCTCTGGAGCTCCTCCAGCTTCCTGGAGACACCGACAATGGCAGTAAAAACTAATTAGAAAGTGCTTGCTCCAATTAGGCTGCAACAGCGGGGCCGCCTCCGGAGCAAGGCAGAAAGTGATAGAGTGTTGATAAAGTCACATCGACCTTGTCAGCCAGGGCTGCTGCCCTGGTCCTCCCGGAGGAGGTCAGGCTTTCCATGGGAGGGGATCCCAAATACATTGGGACCATTGGAATGGATGGATCTCCATCTTCCCTCAGACCTCCTTGTGTTGGGAGGAGAAACCACCAGCCTGATGTCCTCCAGGGATGCTCCTGGAGGTTCTGAGCTTGTTTCCATCTATCCCTGCACAACCAGGAGCATCCCAAACCTGCAAGAGAAGTGTCCTATTGCCCATAGTTGCTGCGAGTCAAGCCCCAGGTGACCAAGCAGTACCCTGAGCTGGAGGAAGGGAGGTTTGTGGTTACACCATCAGGAGGTGACACAAAAGGCAGATGTGAAAAGCAAACCAAAACCACCCCAAAAATGGGCACTGAACAGGAGAGAAAAGCAGGAAAAGCCCAATAGGAGAGGCTGAGATTTGGGGAGAGCCACTCACCGGTCCCAGTCATCCCTCCAGTGGGAAGATGAGTCCTCTGCTGAGATTTGCTTTCATTTTATACCCTGGCTTAAGGAAAAAGGAGGCAACATAGTTGTGGTGACTGGGGAGGAAACCTCCCAGTCAGGGGCAGGAGGTAGCAGTGATTTGTCATCCCAAGGGGAACCAGCAATTGAGCGCAGCCGGTTCCTCTGATGGGTTCCTTGTCTTTCCTCACTGGTGTTACTGGGTTTGGACACAAGCCACTGAGTCCACAGCACATTAGGGAAGTGTCGTGATCATCAGAACACCCGGAGCTGACCTCACCCTTACTGGGAAGGGCAGAGACCTTCCCAGCACCCAAAAGGAGGTTTGGTTCTTTCCTTGTGCTGCACGAGGTGGGATCCGGTCCAGTGTCGGGGGATTCGTTTGCATCCTGGGGGCATCTCTGAGCTTGCATCCAGAACACCCTGCTGGTGGGGAGAATGGGCATTTCCAGGTGCCAGCGCATGTGAGGACACTTTATGGTCAGTTTGGGCTTCAGCCTGTCTCCATTAGGGTTGAGCTTAGATGCCTTCCCTGAGCTGGCAAACACTGGGTGCATTTGATAGGGGCGGCCTGAATTATTAACCAAATGTTAAACCTACTTTACTCTTCAGATTGTCTTCAATCTCTTTAGTTAACAGTAAGTATTTGCCTAAAAGTGCAGTGGGTGTTTAATGTAAACTTGTGTAAGAAAAGAATAAACATCAGATAAGGGGAGCTTGTGGTCAAAGTTTCTACTTGCAACACCATACACCTGGTGAAGACCTGGCTGAGGCTGGCACTGCGGTTTGAGCCAAAGCCAGGGGACCAGTGAGCGTGCGTGCAAGACGGAGGTGAAAAGTTCAAGAGCGAGGAAGACTCATTTACTTCATCTCGAGACCCCTGCCCACAACCACCAGGATGCACTGCGCAGGCGTGAAGGAAGCTTTAGCTCATTATAATATGAAGCGGGGAAAAGATATGAATATGTATAGGCGTGTTGTGTAACCTATTGCATAGAGAATAAATGTAGAGGGCAAATGATGCTGGGAGGAACTATCCCCCATGCGCCTCAGCTCAATAAGGCATACCTACTTTACAACTCTAACGAGCTGTGGAGTCAATCAGCGGATCACATCCTACCAGCCTTTTCCCACAATGGACAGTTTTGACCTCTCAAAGCACCATACATCGACCTCAGGAGCCATCCCTTGTCTGGTTCACCCACCGCTCAACCCTGTGTAGGCTGCATTGCTCCTGGAACCAAACCAACCCACGACAAACTACCCCTCCCAACCATCTTGTCCTTTCTCTTCTTTGCCTTATGTCCCCTTTACAGTACAGCAGATGATGTACTCGTTTGAGGAGGAAATGAAACCCCATGGTGGTGCTTCCCAGATTTCTGCACCCTGAGGGGTGACCTCAGCACCAAGGTAGGCACGAGCCCCATGGAAGGGGCTTTCCCCAAAGCCTCAGTAGTCACTGGCTCTTCTCAGTAGTGCTTTCTTCATGGAACACTCTCCTTCCATGCAATGCTCTCACTTCTCCTTGGTTGGAGCCCAGAGCTACGTGCACCAAAGCAGAAGCAAACTCTTTCCCTTGTGCTATTAGGAGTCTGGTCGTTAGATGGCTGGGTGTCTTCCCAGACAGGAGGGCTGAGGCTCTGCTCCAGCTCTGGTCTCATTAGTCTTGAGTTAGTCTTCAGTCTTGATTTGTTCTGTCTTCTTTGAGTGCTGCTTCCTTTAGTTCTTTGATTGCAGCAGCTTGAGCCAAGCTCACGGCCGGGCTTCACCCCATTCCCCTCCCAACAACAGTGTGGGGTTTTACCAAGTTTCATCATCTCGAGGCAGAAGGGTAACCTATGGGTCACTGAGTGCAACCCCCAAAGTGGAGTTTTGGGGAGCAGTGGTGCCCACTTGTGATGTTACCTTGGTCTCATGCTGTAGATAGTGCCCCAGAGGAGTGGACTGCAGAGCCCTGGTGAAGTAAAGGACTGGAAGAGCTGCCTGTGCTTCCCATCCATTACCCTTGCCATGAAGCCTTCTTCACCAACCAACTTCCTTCCCTCTGGTTTCCTCTGGGCTTTGGGGAAATGGCCCTGACAAATTGCTTCGGTCACTGATGATGGGGTGTTTAATCTTTGCCCCCAGCAGGACCCACTGAACACATCCACATCCATGGGATCTACGCTCTGGTGGCCTCATGGCACAGACCTTGGGGTTTTGTGGTGCTTTTCCAATCTCAGAGATGAGGCTCTTGCCCAGCAACGTGCTTGGTGGTGGAGTGTGGGTGTTCTTACAGCAAAGCAGAGCTGTTGTGGTCTCGTTTCCTGTGCCTGGCCCCGCAGGCACCTCGGTCTGCGCCGATTGAACCTTCTCCCAAAGCATCTTCATGGATGTGCTGCTGGGATGGGCGTTTTGGAAGACATTGACCCTCTCCATGGTGAATTCCAGGAGCTACCTCTGCCCGCATCAAGGCAAAACAAGGAGCTGAGTAACCCTAACCCTAACCCAGTTTTCACCACGAGTTCCCCTTCATCCTCATCAAAACCAGGTGGAAACTTTCCTCCTAAGAAAAGCCAAAGGGTTGCACGTTCTCCTTGAGGATTTTGTCTCTGTTTAGGAGGATCCACCAGTCTGATCCAGGTTTAACCCTTGGAAAAATGCAACAGCACCATTTTTCTGCAAAATGACCTCAAACAAACCTAGTTTGTGCCTGATCTCGTACTGGCTCGTGATTACCAGGTTGTTTTCCTGGTACCTATGGGTGTCTACACTGAAAACTTAGCACCATGCTTTATCTCTTGCCATGAAGCAACGATCCTTGATGGGGGATTTGGGGATTACCTGATGAAACCAACGCGGGCACATGGCTCCAAAGGGTTTGGAGAGAGGGCAGTTTGGTTTATCTTGTTTTGATAAAAAGCTACCTCAGCACGTGTCCTGACAAGCTGCTTTGGGATTAACCTCAAATTACAGGGTTTATTGTCTAAGAGCTGCATGCCACCCGTTGCAAAAGGAGTTCCTCCCATGTTCCTGCTCCTGTCTGCTGCTTCCCTGAGCATTACTGGAAACTGAGTTTCCACCTAAAGCCAGTTACAACATGAGGCTTGGAGAAGGACAATGGGAGGGATGGAAACCGAATCGAATCAGCCAGCGTGGGACGGGTAAAGAAAGGACAAGTCTTTGCTTCCAAATCATTGCCTTTGCTTTTAATGTGGGGTTCTTTTTCTTAATGGAGGGAGGAGAAAAACCAGTCAGGGTTTGGTCCTTCAGCACCAGAGCGGGGAGATGTTGATGTGGCATCAACAGGGCCTTTGACAGTGCATGGAGGAGCTTGAAGGAAGCACGGGGAGGTAAGAACACCGAAGGTGGACGTGAAGAGTGTATGTAAAGCAGGGGGAGGGAAAAACCCGGGTGGATTCATTAGTCACAGACACGAGGCTGAGCTGTGCAGGCAGTTTCTAGTGAGGAAAGATGCTCTTTCAAAGGATTTCCTTGCAACTCATTTCCTGCTCATCCAGAAGGCTCCCAAGGCACATGGAGCACGTCCCTGGTCTTGCAACTGCAAGGTGCAGCTCTTGAGGCTGGGCTGATGCTCTGGGAAATAGGTGTTAAGCTGGGGTTCAGCTGTAGCAGCCATTTCTCTCCTTCTTAGTAGCTGGTGCAGCGCTGTGGCTTTGGCTTTCAGCCTGGGAACAGCGCTGATAACAGCGATGGTTTTAGTTGCTGCTCAGTAATGTTTGCTCTGGCCAAGGACTTTGTGAGGCTCATACTGTGCCAGGGAGGAGGGGAAGAGGGGAGGAAGCAGAGACAGGACACCGGACCCAAACTGACCCAAGAGGTATTGGGTACCACAGCACGTCATGCCCGCTATATGAACTGGGGGCAGCTACCAGAAGGGCTGGATCACTGCTTGGGTCAGGCTGGGTATCGGTTGGTGGGTGTCGAGCGGTTGTATTCTCTCCCCTTGTTATTTCCCTTATCATTACTGGTGGCAGCACAGCAGTTTTGTGTTATACCTTAGTTACTGGACTGCTCTTATCTCAGCCCGTGGGGTTCACATTGCTTCGGTTCTCCTCTCCATCCCTGTGGGATCTGGGGGAGGGAGTGAGTGAGCAGCGGCGTGGGCTTAAACCACAGCAGTTCCTTGTGGTGCCCAGCGTGGGGCACAAAGGGTTGGGATAACAACAGACCTTTGGGTCTTGTCTAGGGTTAGATGACGATATAGGACCAAGAGGCTGGACAGTCACGCGTGGCAGGGTGTGTGGGGCAGTATGGGCAAGCATCTAGGCCAGTGGGCCCCTCCGTGCTTTGGAACTTCACCACTGAACAAGTGCAAAACCCAGAAAAATCGGTAAAACACTGAAATGAGGTGTGTTGTGATGCTGGTTATTAAATTAGATCAATTTAATTATATTTTATACATATTTAATGTCTACAAATGCATAATTTATAGAAATATAATAACTAAACATATAATAAACAAATATTTAATAAACAACATGATCGTAAATATAATAAATATATGATGAATGAATGAAATAATATAATAAATAAATATAATAATTTATCTAAATATAAATTAAATCAATAGAATGAATAAATAATAATTAAATTAAAAATAAATAAAATTAAACGAGAGTTCATGCAACAGCATGAACAACAGTTGGGTGGAAGAGTCTCCTTGGGAGGGTGAGCACCCCAGGGCCATGGTTGCCATTGCCAGGATGGAATCCTCCAGGATTCTATCCATTATGAGCTGGTGGGAGATGTTGTTCTCTTGGCCAATGGGAGGGCTCAGAACCCCCCTCATTTGCATCCTCACTTGCATAAAAAGGGGAGCGCAGGGGGGTTCTGTGGGCTCAGAGGGTCAGGGTCGTGCAGGGCCAAGGCTGAGCCATGGTGTCTGTTGGTGTGGTCTCTGTTAAGGAAGCAAAGAGGAGAACCCAGACGAGAAGGAGGTCCCAGAGGAAAAGGAGGCTCCAGCATGGGAGCAGACGCAGGAGCCGCAGCAGGGAACCTATGGCCAAGAAGAGGAAGCCTTGGGACCAGGGGAAGCGTCGTGGGCCCATGAAGAGGAGGAGAAGCGCTTCCAAACGCTCCCTCTGCTTCAACACCGAGAAGCTCAAGGGGGCCAAGGGGTCCGGATGGTTCCTGTCCCGCGAGGCCAAGGAGCTCATGCTCACCTTCATGCAGGACATCTACAAGCAAGAGTCGAGCGTGGCTGAGCGGCTGCGGAGGGAGAGCCACGAGGCCGTGGTCAGCCCCGTGCACGTCCAAGCTGCCCTGCAGACCCTGATGCCCAAGAGGAGGTGGAAGCAGGTGGCCTTCAGGAACAGGCGCCAGAAGAAGGCTCCTCCACCCCAACGGACAGGATTTAAAGCATCTCAGTCACTGAGAGCCTGAGCAATGCCCCACGAGGGGGGAGTCTGATGAACTAAATTGGCATGGCAATAAAGCCCCCAAGCCCCCTTCTGGTGGTGCCAGGGGTTTCTTTGGGAGGGAAGGATGCTATGGGGCTGGGTTGCGGCTTGGTGTTTCATTAGTGAGCATCTGTAAGTGGGTTTTGCCTTCATATGGGCTTCCAGGCCCTCCTTGCTGCAATGATATATTGACTATATGTATTTTAATTGCCAGCAGATGATGGGAGTTGCTGGGAGCCGGGGGAAAAGACCCACTGGTCAAAATTGCCCAAGGCTAGTGATGGTGACGGCCAGATGTGCTAAACCCATCCCTCACCAAGGTATTGCCCACGACAAAGCAGCAGCTCTTTTAAAGAGCAGGGGTGCCATTGGCTTTTGGAATAACGGAGTTTGCCATCGGTGTGTGTGCTTCTTAAGGGCTGGATTTGCTGCGAAAAAGCCTATTATTGGTGTCAGCAGAAGGGAGGGGAGAAAAATGTTGGGGGGGGGGGGGGGGGGGGGCAGGATATTTTATTGAACGGGGAAAAGGAAGTTTCCCTGACCGGGAATCGAACCCGGGCCGCGGCGGTGAGAGCGCCGAATCCTAACCACTAGACCATCAGGGAAGCACTGGCAGTGATTTACTGCTGCTGTGGTCTGCAATAGATGAATAGGAGCAATGGGCACAGGAGGGAGGATTTGGGGTAAAAAAGCAGAGAATCGGCGTTTTTCCTATGGGGTGGGGGGAAATTATTCCACTAGGTTATAGAAAGTTTATTTTTCATCGGGAAAACATGTGTCAGAAGTGGGATTTGAACCCACGCCTCCATTCGGAGACCAGAATTCCCAGGGTAGGGAAAGCAGAGCCTTGAGTCTGGCGCCTTAGACCACTCGGCCATCCTGACACTGTCTGAACCGTCCCTCCTCCTCCTCATCCTTCCACATCCCACCCTTCCTTGCCTCCTTTGCACCACCTTTAATTTGCAGGAAGTTCGGGATTTTTGCAGCATTTGCCCTGTTTTCCACAGCCTCTGTTGCCCCCTCAGGATAAAACCAGGATTTGGGGTTTGGGAGGCACCAGGGCAGCAACCTTCCTCACACTGATCATTGAGTGAGTGCAATAAGGGACCAAGGAAGACCACAAATCGTTTCTCTGCAAGGAAACGTGGGTTTGGGGGTAATTTGGGGGACTTTCCCTAAATCAGAGCAAAAGTGGATGTTCCCTTGGCGAAATTCCACGTTCTTCAGGCAGAATTCCCTATGCAGGGATGAGGTTGAGCTACGTCAATGGATGCAACACCCAAAACATCCCTGTCTCCGCTGCCGGGATCCTTTGGGAAGGATCCACCGAGCTGCATGGGGTTGGGGATGCTGCGGCGCTGCGCTGGGGTTGCAAGGAGGGATGCGGGAAGTGCCCGCACCGCTGCGCTGACTGCGGGAAGGGCTTCCCGTGGGCGTCCCACCTGGAGCGGCACCGGCGCGTGCACACCGGGGGAAGCCCTACGAGTGCCCCGAGTGCGGGGGGGGCTTCAGCCAGAGCTCGAACCTCATCAAGCACCTCCGCAGCCACCTCCGCAAGGCACCGCTGCCCCCCCGGAGGGCGCGGGTGCAGGGGGAGAAGCCGATGGATGCTGAGGGAGGATGCGGCCATGGGGAGCCCTGAAGGACACAGAGCAAAGGATGCGGATGCCGAGTGGGCAAAGCAAAGGACACCGGAGGGTGCCCCCAGGTGGGTGATGGGGCTGTGAGGCACCAGGGAGGGGTTTATCCCGGTGGCTGCATCCCAATGGACATGGCAGGGGAGAAGGAGGCTTTCCCTGAGGGATACAGGAAGGGATGGGGGGCACCCATGGCTGGTTCCTGTGCCAAGATACGGTGGTGTTTGTGCCTGCTCCTCGCCGCCGGCAGGATGGAGAAGGGGATGCGCTGCCCCATGGAGAGGGCCCAACGCTGAGAGCTGTGAGGAATAAAGCCCGAGCGCCCCAGTCCCAGGCTCCATCAGTTTTCCTGGTGGGAAGCCCCTCAAGCATCCTCCCCCTCTCCAAAGACAACCACACTGAGCCGGGCGAAGGGGCTTTTGGCTGAGCTGCCTCCTGCTTTATTACCCGAGCCGAGGGATCCCAGCTCTCCGTGTTCCCAGCTCCACGCATCCCAAACAGCATCCGGGGGCTCGCAGGGAGGAAACAACCGCGCTGGTGGCGGCTGCAGGTCCCCGTGGCCCTCGTCTGAGCCGTTCGGCCCCAAAAGCCACCGGTGGGAGGGTGATTCCCCCCTTCCAAGCCCCAGCCCCACCAGTGCCGAGGATGAGGAAGGTGATGGAGATGCGCTCTCTGCCCCCCATCGCCCTGAAGCATCACCCAGCCCTCCCAAGATCCTGGCCCTCCTCTCCTGGTCTCTCCCCATAGCCCCTCTGCTCACCGCTGCACCCCACACCCCCTCCCCACCGCATCACCCCCATTCCCCCCCCACACACAGCCAAAGGCTCTGAGCTCCCCCATCTCAGGAGGCATCGCTTGGCACCGCGGCCCCCTCCCCGCCTCTCCACGCCGTGGTGTGGGGCAGGACGGCCTTGGCCGAGGAGGAGGATGGGGAGGAGGAAGGCTCCGGGTGCTGCTGGCTCCATGGCTCCGGAGGGGTCGGGGTCCCCCCTTGCCTCTCGGCTCCCCCCCACACCGCAGGCAGCAGGGACGCGGGGCAGGCGTGGGGCTTGGCAGCGTGGGCTCGCTGGTGCCGGTTGCGGTGGGAGCTGCGCCCGAAGCGCTTCCCGCAGTGGGCGCAGGAGAACGGCTTCTCCCCGGTATGGCTGAGCCGGTGCCGGTCGAAGTGCGAGCTCCATGCGAAGCCCTTGCCGCACACGCCGCACTGGTAGGGCTTCTCGCCGCGGTGCAGCCGCCGGTGCCGCTCGAGGGCGGGCGCGGTGCCGAAGGCTTCACCGCAGTCGGGGCAGGCGTGGGGCCGGGCGGGCTGGGTGCCGTGCGTGCGGCGGTGCGCCAGCAAGGTGGAGCTGACGGCGAAGCTCTTGCCGCAGTCACCGCAGCGGTAGGGCCGCTCGCCCGTGTGCACGCGCCGGTGCCGCTCCAGGTGCGAGCTCACGGCGAAGCCTCGGCCGCAGTCGCCGCAGCGGAACGGCTTCTCACCGGTGTGGATGCGGCGGTGGCGCTCCAAGTGCGAGGCCCAGCCGAAGCGCTTCCCGCACGCCCCGCACCGGTGCGGTTTGGTGCCGGCTCCCTCGGTGGCTTTGCTGTGGGTGCGCTCGCAAACGGGGCACGGGTCCGGCCTCTCGGCGCTGTGGATGCGCCGGTGCTTGAGGAGGTTGGAGCTCAGCGAGAAGCATTTGCCGCAGTGCTCGCAGCGATGGGGGCTGCTGCTGGGCAGCGTCTGCGTGGCCTTGTGCTTGAAGCGCCGCGGGGCCGGCTGGTGGTTGAGGCGCTTGCCGCAATCAGCGCACGTCAGTGCGGGCGGCGCGGGCTCTGCTTCATCATCACCATCACCATCATCACCATCATCACCATCACGGGGGGCAGCGGCGTGGGTGCGCATGTGGCGGTCGAGGTGCGAGCTCCAGGCGAAGGCTCTCCCGCACTGCCCGCACCGGAAGGGCTTCTCGCCGGTGTGGATGCGCCGGTGCCGCTCGAGGTGCGAGCTCCAGGCGAAGGCTTTCCCGCACACCCCGCACTCAAAGGGCTTCCCCCCCGAGTGGCTCCTCTGGTGCCGGTCGAGGGCGGCGGCGGCGGCGAAGCCGCGGCCGCACTGCGGGCACCGGTTGGGCGGGTGGGCGCCGGGCGCGTGGGTGCGCTGGTGGGTGAGCAGGGAGGAGCTGACGCTGAAGCGGCGGCCGCAGTGGGCGCAGGCGTAGGGGCGCTCGCCCGTGTGCACCCGCCGGTGGATGGTGAGGTCCGAGCGCTGGATGAAGCCCTTGCCGCAGTCGGGGCAGGCGTGCGGGCGGTCGCCGCTGTGGATCTTGCGGTGCTTCACCAGGGCTGATCTGTGGCTGAAGCTCTTGCCGCACTCCCCGCACGTGGGGCTGGGCTGGGAGGTTGGGGCCCCAGCGCCCCTGCTGCTGCCACCGCACGGATGCTCCTCGGGTTTCACCTCTGGGGGCTCTTCCTTGCCTTGAGGGGGGTCCTGCTCCCCTCCTGCTCCATCCTCTGTGGGGCACAAGAGACAGAGCCCAGGCAGGAGGCATGGGGAGGGGGGAGGAAACGGGGATGCTCCCGTGTGAGGCCCCCCTCACCTGAGGCTCACCTGCAGCCGGGGTCTCCCTGGGCACGTGGAGATCCAGGGGTCTCGGTTCACCCCCGTGGTCCAGGCGGGGCAGCAGATCCGGCTTGGGGAAAGGGAGTTCTGGGGAAGAGAAGAGGGAATGAGCAGCATGGGGCAGGAGAGACTCATACCCCTGATGCCGGGATGAGGATCCATCCATCCATCCATCTATCACCCATCCATCCAACATCCATCCACCCATCCATCATCCATCCATCCATCCATCCATCCATCCATCCATCCATAATCCATCCATCCCAAACCCTCCTCCTCCTCACCCAGCGCCATCAGCGTGTCGTAGCTCTCCTGCATCACGTCGCGATAGAGCGCTCTCTGTCGCGGGTCCAGCAGCACGTACGGCTCCATGGCTGGGGAAGGAAGGAGGTCACCCCCATGAGCCATTGTCCCTCGGGATGGACCCTTCCTGCAGAGCCCTCCATCTATAACCTATCCATTATTGGTGTTTAATGGCAAACCAGGCATGAAGCGTGGTGACGGGCAGCCTTTCCCCTGCCCTCTATGTCCCCACATCCTACAGGAGCTCTATACCCTCTGCCTGTACCAAATGCGGATGAACATCGTTTTCCCCCAGAATTAACGGGAAGGAAGCAGAAAGGGGGACCAGAACCATGGAAGCCTCCCCCTCTGCTCAGTGGGTGCATGGGGATCCCAATGAGTGCCGGTTTAGAGGCGCTGTTTGCCTGTCCCGGCTGTGGAGGACGGAGCCGGGCTGTGCTGGATGTGCAGGAGGCCGTCGGTCACTCACTGGTACCCGGGATAAAAGGGTGATCCCAAGCCGATCCCCCCCGCAGGCTTGGCTCTATCCCTGCTCCTTATAGCGCAGCCCCATCAGCGCCTCCCTCACTGCTGAGCGCATGGAGAGAGCGCGTTATCAGTAACACCCATCCTCGCTGCACCTCCCTGCTTCCCAAAGCCCATCCCAAATCAAACCCACCCGCTCGAACCAAGGGAGACGGGAAGGGCGGGCGGGCATGGGGTTTGGGGTGGGTTTGGGGTGGTTTTGGGGTGGTTTTGGGGTGGTTTTGGGGTTTATTCTCCACATCCAAGCACCGAGTCTAAGCCTGGTGCGCTCGGGCGCCGCGGAGGGGATGGGAGGCGAGGGGAAGGGAAAGGATGGAGGGGAAAGCAAAGGGATGCGGTGGAAACGGAGCCATTTTCCGCTCGCTTTTTGCACCCAAACCCCGAACCCCCTCCCCGTTACCTGCGGTGTCCGGCTCGGGAGGTGCTGTCGGCAAAGCCCATAGATGCCCCCCTCCCTTTTAACCCCCAAAACCCTCTTTTTTCGCCCCAAAACAAGCCGCTGTGTGTGGGGGGATGCGAGGACCACAGGGATGCGGCGCGGTCCCTCCGGTAGCCCGAGCAATGAGAGGTAAAAAGGGGGGGGGAGGAAGGAAGCAAGGAATTAGAGGGGAAAAAAGCCAGGAGAGAGGGAGAAGGAGCTCGGCACCGGGGCCAGGGCCCTCTGGTGGCAATGGAGCAAATGCTCATTAAAGACCTGCGAAAGTGGAGTTTTCGCCTCAAAATGGGCTAAAACGCGATGGTTTTGGGGTTTCTGCTCCTCGGGGGGGAACGGGGGTGTGCCCCCCGGGGTTTTATCCTTAGGGAGGGCTGCGGCGGAGCGGGATGCCATGGATCTATTGGTGATAAACCGCTTATGGACCACTTTGGGGCTCAAACCAGAGCTGGGCGAGCATCCTGCGGGATGTTTTACAACGTGTGGACCGGCGGGGCTGCTCCTCCCATTGCAGCGGCTGTTCCCAGCGGGTTTGGGGGTAAAAGAGGGGTTTTCTGCCAACAGATGTTGGCGATGTCAGCACGGAGCACGTCCGAGATGTGTTTAACGGCCCCGTGAGGGGTTTGGGGGCTCACAGGTGCGTCCCAAACGGCCCCGTCCCACCATGGCCACAGCGCTTATGGGGGGCTTTTGCCCCTCGGCAGGACCCGTCGCCGTGGCAACACGGCCTGGCTGCCCTCACCCAAGATGGACGGCAGGGCTTCACTGCCGGCGGCCATCTTGAGCATGGCCCCTCTGTCGACAAGGCGGAGAGGGCGGCCGCAGCCATCTTGTCGCTCTCCCTGCCTGAGGGCGAGGCCGCCATTTTGGAAGCGGGCACGGGTGCCGCCATTTTGAACGTGTGGTGGTCCTGCCGTGGTGAGGCCCCACGTGTAGCTCCGGTGTCCGCAGCGTCAGGACACGGAGCTGTCGGAGCACGTCCAGAGGAGGCCGAGCAGGGGCTGGGGCAGCTCCTGTGTGGAGCCCGGCTGGGAGCATTGGGGCTGGAGGAGAGAGGCTGCTGGGAGCTCTCAGAGCAGCTTCAAGGGGGGTATAAGGGACCTGCGGCAGGGATAGGACGAGGGGTGATGGAACTGGAACAGGGAACTTCAACTTGGAGAAGAGGAAGCTCTTCCCTGTGAGCGCGGTGGGACGCTGGAGTGGGCTGAATGGAGTTGAACCGGTTCAAGGCCTGGGCTTGGAGCAGCCTGCTCTAGTGTGAGGTGTCCCTGCCCATGGCAGCGGTTGGGACTGGACGGGGTTTGAGCCCTTCCCAACGCATCCCATCCCATGATGGATTCCATGCCTATTTCCATGACAACACGACGGCTGCGCCATGCGCCCCCCCCATCCCGCGCAGTGCCTTCCCCTCCTCTCCCCGCCTCGTTGTGCGCGGGCGCGGCCACGCCCCCTCTCTCGCGCGCACGCGCGGCTCCTCTCCCGCGGCGTCAGTCGGGCCTGGGGCGCGGAGCGGGGCGGATCGGAGCGGACCGGACGGGCCCGGAGCCGGGATGGAGGCGCCGCCCGCACCCCCCAGCGTTCCCCCCGCTCCGTGCAGCGCTGCCCGCAGCCTGCAGGACGAGCTGACGTGCCCGGTGTGCCTCGAGTACTTCAACGACCCGGTGCTGGTGGCCGAGTGCGGGCACAACTTCTGCCGCGCCTGCGTGACCCAGTGCTGGGAGGACTCCGCTCGCCGCCTCTGCTGCCCTCAGTGCCGGGAGCCGGTGCCGCAACGGCTCTTCCGCCCCAACCGCTCCCTCGGGAACATCGTCCACATCGTCCGCCAGCTCGGCTTACCGCCCAGCCCCGCCGAGCCGCCGCCGGGGCCTCCCGCGCCCTCGCCGCCGCTGCCCGCCGCCGCTCCGCCCGGCCCGCCGGGCCCTCCGCGCTGCCCTCGCCACGGGGAGCCGCTGCGGCTCTACTGCGTGCAGGACCGCCGCGCCGTCTGCGTTGTGTGCCACCTGTCCCGCGAGCACCGGACCCACACCGTGCTGCCCGCCGAGGAGGCGGCCCATGCCCCGGAGGTCAGTGTGGGAGCCTGGCCCCGCTCCATGGGGGATCCGTAAGGGATAAGTGGAAGGAGGAACCCCAGGGAACCCCCCCTGCATGGGGTGCAGTGCCCTTGGCTGCAATAGGGACTCCCTGTCCTTAACAGAGGTGACCCTGCTCATCCCCCAGGACCTAAGGGATCCCCTCGGTGCATTCCCCGTGTCCGTTCAGATGTACCTGGGATGCAGTGGGTGGAGAATGGGGGCTCCTTGTCCAAGTTATGGGGTGCAACAGGGACTCAGCTCCCCCCCACCCAAAGCAGGGAGGATGGGCCTGCAAAACGGAGTTGGGTTTAACTGGGAAGGTGCTGGGTGCAGCCAGTGCGAGGTTCCCCTGCACTGGTGCGAGTGTGCAGGATACCGTTAAACACTCCCCAAGCTGTTTCTATGGGCAGGAATGCACTGGAGTGGACGTGGAGCTGGCTCCTGGGGGTAAGGGGGGGCATAAGAAGGGCTTGAAGTGGAGCAGGACCCCCCCGTCCGAAGGGATTTTCCCCCCAGAGGAGCCGTTCAACCACCATAGGGTGCGGGGGAGACCCCCCCCGGGGCCATTGGGGGGAGTTCCCCGTTGGAATTAATCATTAATTAGGAATGAAGGGGTTAATGAAGGCCCGGGGGGGCCAAGCTGCCGGCCGGGATGTGCAGTGCGCAGCAGCGGATGGACCAGGAGGAGGAGGAGGAGGGAGCTCCAACCACAGCTCCTCCATTCCTGAGTTATCAGCATCGGGGCCGGTGCCTCCTGTTGAAAACTGCTCTTTTGCTGCTCCCCCCCCCCCCCGTTTTTAATGTGCTTTGATGCATTTTTACCATCTCTTTTTGCCTCTCTGGGCGCTGTTTGCCCATCCTGATGCTCCCGTCCTTGCTGTGCTCCCCCGTGTAACCAAACCCTGGGTACAGAGGGCAGAATCCCCGCGGCTCCGTGTTGCGTTTGTGCCAGATGAGCCCTGGTTGCTGCCCAGAGCCCTGCTGCTTCCTGTGGAGCGTTGCTAAGCACCTCCCTGGCTGCCTCCGAGGCCAGAGGCCTCCAAACAAGGGCAGTTGCCAACAGTGAGCTCTTGGTAAAGGCCCTGCGCAGCCTGGAGGCAGCCACCCCCCCATCTCAGTGGGGTTCAGGCAGTCCGGGGGGGCTGGGATGTGAAGGCTCATCCCAAAAGGTGATCCCAAGGGGTTTTCCGGGGGGGTTTGTGCTTGCAGAGGGCTAAAAACTGGCTCTAAGCTGGCTTTTTGCCTTCCTTCCTTCCCTTGTGTCTGTTTTCAGGCTGATTTGGGGGCGGGTTTTGGCTTGCCCCAAACTCAGGGTTGAGGGTGATGGGGCACAGCGTTGGCCTCACCTCTCTTTGGGTTCGTGGTGGTCTCCACCTCAACCCCCCTCAGGTTTGATGGGATTTCAGCACCAGCACTGGAGGGAACCCCATCCCATCCCATCCCTCTGTATTCCTGATGCCGGGGAGGCAGGATCCCAACGGAGCTGCCCTTTGGCCTTGCAGGAGGTGCCCCAGGAGCACTTGAGCTCCCTGAGGAAAGGGCGTGAAGAAGCCAAAGCGGAGAGGGAGAGACAGAGCGAGGACTTGCTGGTGAGTACATGGGGGGGTCCCTGACCCGCTGGCCAGGCCATGGGGTGCCCATCTCCCCCCTTGGGCTCTTGCAGAAGCAAACAGAAGTGGAGAGGCAGAAGATCGTGGCCGAGTGCAAGGAGCTCCGGGGCTTCCTGGAGGAGAAGGAGCAGCTCCTGCTATCCCGCTTGGAAGAGCTGGACAAGGACATCGTGAGGAGGAAGGAGGAGAGCGTGGCCCGGCTCTGCGAGGAGATCGCCCAGCTCGACAAGCTGCTGGCTGAGCAGGGGGCAGAGAGCAGCCCCGGGGGCCAGCCCGGGCAGGTGGGAGCCATGGCGTGGGGTAGGGTTTGCAGCTTGGGGGACACATGCAGCTTGGGGTAGGGTTTGCAGCTTGGGGGACACATGCAGCTTGGGTTAGGGTTTGCAGCTTGGGGCACGCATGCAGCTTGGGACACGCATGCAGCTTGGGACACGCATGCAGCTTGGGACAGGGTTTGCAGCTTGGGTCAGGCATTCAGCTTGGGTTAGGGTTTGCAGCTTGGGACAGGCATGCAGCTTGGGGTAGGGTTTGCAGCTTGGGGTAGGGTTTGCAGCTTGGGGTAGGGTTTGGTGGGGTTGTTGGGTGGGTTTGGTTGGGGTGCAGCTTGGGAGGTGCAGTTGGGAGATTCAGCTTGGGGTAGGGTTTGCAGCTTGGGGCACGCATGTTGTCCTTTAAGAACCACCCTGCTTTCCCATCCACCCTGGGAAAGGAGAAGGGGAAGGGAAAAACCCCGTAATGATGCCCTGGTTCTGCCATTTCCATGGGCCCGTGCTTTGGGAATGGGCTGGGGGCTGATCCCCCATGGGGCTGCTCCAGGGAAGGCTTTGGGCTCATCCTTTCTCGGTGTTTTCCTCTTTTCCCAGGTCGTTGCCCCATCTGGAAGCAGGTGAGAAGCTGAGCCCTTGCTGGGGCTCACACTGGGGGTTCCAGCTCCCCCCCCCACCCCAGGGTGTCACCAAGCCCAAAGCCAGGCTTGGGGCATCTCCCAGAGGGAAACCATGGAGTAACTTGGGGTGGTGAGGGCCAGAACCCCCCCCGCCAACCTGGCCCTAATGCTGTTGGGCCAGGAGGCCACTGATCCAACCCCAAACCTCCCCTTCCTTCCCTGCTTGGAGGCTGGGGGGTTCTGTTATTCCCATTGGGAGCCTAATGCTGCTTTGCTGTCCCCAGCTTTGAGAGCTGGATGTTCTGCAAGCCCGAGGCTGGCTTCACCGAGCTGGAGAAGAAACTCAAGAGCTTCTCCCAGAAGAGTGCAGTGCTCAAGGAGGTCTTGCTGGAGTTCAAGGGTGAGCCCTGCCACAGGATCCCTCCCAAAGCTGCTGCTCCCCATGGGGTTGAGTTCCTGAGCTGTGCTCTTGCTTCCCCTCGTTGGGACAGCTCCATTTGAGCAAGTGCTGAAAAGCAAGAGCAGCAGCACATTGCCCTTGGGTTCCTTGGAGCCTGGAGGTCTCCATCCACTGCCGTTGCCAAGCAGGGGCATGGGTGGCTGCCGTGCAGCAGGGATGGGGGCTGTGTGGTTGTCAAAGTCCCCTGGCACAAAAGCAGCTGAACTCCTCTCTTCTCTCCCCTCAGAGAACCTCAGGTTCGAGCTGGAGAACGACACAGGTGAGTGCATCGCCTTCCTCCATGGCCTTAATGCAGGAGTTTGGGCTTCTCCAGGCAGGAGAGGAGGAAAACCCCTGCTGGTGCTGCCAAGGGAAGAGCGGGAATGGTCCCAGTGCTGGGAGGTGCAGCCCTGGGGCTTGTGGGGCTCTGCAGGAGGCCTTTATCCCTGCTCCTGGGTGTTGGATGCGCTCCGGGATGGACTCTGCTGGATGGGTGCAGGATGGAGCCAGCTCTCAGCAGCCTCCGCTCTTCCCTGCTCCTGAGCACAAAACCAGCCCTTAAACACGGGGGTATTTGCTTATTCCAGCACTTGGAAGGGACTGAAGGGACCTGGGATGTGGGGCAGCTTGGGCTATAGGGGGGGTGTCCCTGCCTGTGGCAGGGGTTGGAAACGGGATGAGCTCCAAGGTTCCTTCCAGTCCAGACCATTCCATAATCTGGATAGCCTGGAGAAGAGAAGGCTGCGTGGAGACCTCATAGCAGCCTTCCAGTATCTGAAGGGGGCTATAGGGATGCTGGGGTGGACTCTTCATTAGGGACTGTAGTGATGGGACAAGGGGTAATGGGTTAAAACTGAAACAGGGCAAGTTTAGATTGGATATAAGGAGGAAATTCTTTCCTGTGAGGGTGGTGAGGCACTGGAAAGGGTTGCCCAAGGAGGTTGTGAATGCTCCATCCCTGGCAGTGTTCAAGGCCAGGTTGGACGAGGCCTTGGGTGATGGCGGGGGGTTGGAACTGATGATCTTAAGGTCCTTTCCAACCCTCACTATTCTATGATCCTATAAAACACTCTTCCAGCCCAGAAATCTCTGTTCCAGAGTGAGGGAGGTGCCTGGGATGGGATGGGGGCTGGAGGTTTTCCAGCAGGGCTCTGCCTGCTCCTCCGCTTGCATTAGGAACTGGAGCCTGCTCCTTGCTCCCTGCAGCTCTTTGAGTGCTTAAAGCCTGAGGCGACCCCTTCCTGTGGGGCAGAGCCAAAGAGAGCGGGATCCTTGGCTCGCAGGCGCTCCCATCCCTGTTTCCCCCCCTTTCCCAGGTGATCTCTCCCTGGACCCGGACACAGCCAACCCCTACCTGGTGCTGTCGGAGGACAAGAGGAGCGTGCGGCTCCGCAGCGCCCCGCAGGAGCTGCCTCCCAACCCCAAGCGCTTCGATTACTCCTTCAGCGTGCTGGCAGCCGAGGGGTTCGTGGCTGGGAGGCACTACTGGGAGGTGGAGGTGGGCGATGGGGAGAGCTGGGTGCTGGGGGCGGCGCGCGAGTCCGTGCGCAGGAAGGAGAAGATCGACTTCGCCCCCGAGGAGGGGATCTGGGCGGTGGGGTTGAACTGGAAGGGGAAGAACTGGGATCAGTACCAGGCTTTCACCTCCCCAGAGACGCCCCTGTCCCTGTGTGAGAGGCCCAGGAAGATCGGGGTCTACCTGGACTATGAGGGCGGGTGGGTGGCGTTCTACAACGCCGACAACATGGCTCCGATCTTCACCTTCACCGCCGCCTTCACCGAGAAGATCTTCCCCTTCTTCTGGCTCTTCTATGTGGGCTCCTCCCTCTCCCTCTGCAATTGAGGCTCCAGGTTCTGTACCCCCCCCCAGGTGACCTGCAAGTAGGGTCCTGTCCCTTTCCCTGCCCTGCTCTCTGCAGAGCCCCCAGCCCTCCTCGTTGTCCCTTGTTCTGCTGTTTTCTCGTTGAGTTCCAGTTCCAGTTCTGAGTCTCGTTTCTCACACCAAAAACCTTCCTGCAGGGCAGCAGTCGTGGAGGGTGATGGCTGAAACAGCCCCGTTGTGGGGTTATTCCTGCTCAGGAAGGGATCCCATAGGTTTTGTTTGCTGTTCTGTTTCAAGTTGGCTGCCCCATGTGGACAGGGATGTAACCAGGGACGGAAGCTCCCCTAGGGGTTACTGGCATCCTGCATTGTTCCAAAGCTGTTGTGCACCCCGGGAAGCTCTAGAAGGCTGGAAAACCAGCGTGAGGAGCAGAGGCTCCATTCCCAGCCCTGGTTCCTGATGCAGTTGCTCTGCAGGTCACCTTTTAGGTTCCCTTTCACCTCATCCTTGCTTTCCTTTCCCTTTGGGAAAGGGCTGAGTTCATCTCCTCGCTGTTGGTAGCACCAAGAGAGCAAAACCTCATCCCCTTCCTCACCGCTTCCCCCAGCAGCACTGAGCATCCGTAGGGTTGGGAATGGAGGGAGATGGGATGAGTTTTGGGGTGTAGCCATGGGGACATGCAGGGAAGCAGCGGTTTAGGGTTGCTTTGTGGGTAGAGCCTGATGGAATGGGGCCTGTATCCGTTGGGAAGGAGGGGGAAGCTTGTTTTCAATGTGATCTCGTGCTCATAACCCCCGGCTCGCCCTCGTGTGTTCCACGATGCTTCCTTGTCCCTGCCCTGTCACTGTTTAGTGGGGAAATAAAAGTTGCTGTGCAAAAAACCACCACCAAAATCCCTGGAATGGAATTCCCCAAACTCCTCTTTCCTGGGCCGCCTGCAGCAGGAAAAGCGGCTCTCGGGTCCTCAGCCCCCCCTCATTGAGGTGAATGGGGCTTGGGGGCACCTCTCTTTGTCCCTATCAGCTCTTTGTGGGGGTGGCTCTGGGGAGGGTTGAAATGGGGGTGCCCCCAGATGGGGGTCACGGAGCATCCCTGGAATGCTGAGGAAGAGGTAAATGCTGCTCATAGGATATGGGGAACCATCCCCACATCAGTGACACCCGTGTCCAAGGCCAGAGCTGGCACGGCCTCAGCCCCCTCCACCTCCATCGTCCTTTTACTGCGCTGAACATGGAAAACCTCAGGATTTGGGGGTGACTCGGCCAAAACCAGGGAAAATCTCCCTTTCCCCGCTCTTTTCCATAGAAACTCAGCACTGAGCTGGCTGCTGCAAGTGGGGAAACCGCCTTGGACACAGAATGAGCCTTTATTGAGGATGCTGCTGGGATGAGGATGCTCACAGTGGGAGGGATTCAGGGAGGAGGCTCCATGTGTGCGAGCCCAGGGTTTGGCAGGGAAGCGCCGCTCCTTCCCCACTCCTTGTGCTCTTGGCACTGCTGGGGGGGCCCAGCACCACCCTCATCCATCACCCCTCATGCTCTGACCTCAGTCCAAGGAGGATGCATCCTGTGAGCCAGCCCCCTCCATCCCCTGGCCTTGGGATGCTCCCGCATCCTGGATCCCGATCCCTTCCCGATCCGCAGCAATGGGAGCCGGGGTCTCCTGCTGCTCCCCACCGCTCCCCAGCGTGGCCCCAGTGCCCGGCGGGGCCGGGGGCTCCCCGGGGGGGTGGCTCTTGCTCTTGTGGGCCGCGACGTTGTCCCTCTTCTCGAACCTCTTGCCGCAGAGCTCGCAGGAGAACTGGTACCCGGCGGCGGCGCCGTGCTTCTTCATGTGCCAGTTGAGGGAGGCCTTCTGGCGGCACGTGAAGCCGCACACCTCGCACCTGGGGGGCACAGAGAGGCAGGGATGGGGCTCACCAGGGGACCCGGGCTCACCCCAGTTCGGAGCTGGGGTTGTAATGGGGGGGCTTGGTAAAGGCACCGCAGCGCAGCCCCCAGGTAAGGAGGTGCAGAGCTCTGCTTAGACCCAGCTCATTGCACTCCTTAGGTCCCTGCTCGCTGCTCTCCTTAGGTCCCTGCTCGCTGCTCTCCTTAGATCCCTGCTCGCTGCTCTCCTTTAGGACCCAGTTTATTGCGCTCCTTAAATCCCAGCTTATTGCTCTCCTAGATCCCATTTTACTGCTCTCCTTTAGGACCCAGCTTACTGCTCTCCTTAAATTCCAGTTTATTGCTCTCTTTGGGTCCCTGCTTGCTGCTGTCCTTAAATCCCTGCTGATTGCTCTCCTTTAGGACCCATCTTACTGCTCTCCTTAGATCCCTGCTCACTGCTCTCCTTTAGGACCCAGCTTATTGCCCTCTTTAAATCCCATCTTATTGCTCTCCTAGATCCCATTTTACTGCTCTCATTAAATCCCAGTTTAGTACTCTCCTTCAATCCCATTTTACTGCTCTCCTTCAATCCCATTTTACTGCTCCCCTTCAATCCCATTTTACTGCTCTCCTTCAATCCCATTTTACTGCTCTCCTTCAATCCCATTTTACTGCTCTCCTTCAATCCCATTTTACTGCTCTCCTTCAATCCCATTTTACTGCTCTCCTTCAATCCCATTTTACTGCTCTCCTTCAATCCCATTTTACTGCTCTCCTTCAATCCCATTTTACTGCTCTCCTTCAATCCCATTTTACTGCTCCCTTCAATCATTATTCCTTCAATCCCATTTTACTGCTCTCCTTCAATCCCATTTTACTGCTCTCCTTCAATCCACTGCTCTCCTTCAATCCCATTTTACTGCTCTCCTTCAATCCCATTTTACTGCTCTCCTTCAATCCCATTTTACTGCTCTCCTTCAATCCCATTTTACTGCTCTCCTTCAATCCCATTTTACTGCTCTCCTTCAATCCCATTTTACTGCTCTCCTTCAATCCCATTTTACTGCTCTCCTTCAATCCCATTTTACTGCTCTCCTTCAATCCCATTTTACTGCTCTCCTTCAATCCCGCTCTCCTTCAATCCCATTTTACCTCTTTCAATCCCATTTTACTGCTCTCCTTCAATCCCATTTTACTGCTCTCCTTCAATCCCATCTTACTGCTCTCCTTCAATCCCATTTTACTGCTCTCCTTCAATCCCATTTTACTGCTCTCCTTCAATCCCATTTTACTGCTCTCCTTCAATCCCATCTTACTGCTCTCCTTCAATCCCATTTTACTGCTCTCCTTCAATCCCATTTTACTGCTCTCCTTCAATCCCATCTTACTGCTCTCCTTCAATCCCATTTTACTGCTCTCCTTCAATCCCATTTTACTGCTCTCCTTCAATCCCATCTTACTGCTCTCCTTCAATCCCATTTTACTGCTCTCCTTCAATCCCATCTCACTGCTCTCCTTCAATCCCATTTTACTGCTCTCCTTCAATCCCATTTTACCGCTCTCCTTCAATCCCATTTTACTGCTCTCCTTCAATCCCATTTTACTGCTCTCCTTCAATCCCATTTTACTGCTCTCCTTCAATCCCGTGCTCGGGGTGATGGGGCCGGTACTCACTGCAGAGGCTTCTCCCCTGTGTGGATGCGCCTGTGGATGATGAGGTTGCTGCTGGTGCGGAAGGAGCGGGCACAGAACTCGCAGATGTAGTCCCTCTTGTCTGGGAGCAGAGGGAAGGGCTCAGGGGCAGGCACTGGGATGTGCTGCGGCCCCATGGGCCCAACTCACCGCTGTGCAGCTTCTCGTGCTCCTTGAGGTGCTTCTTGAAGTTGAAGGATTTGCCGCAGCTGGGCTCCGAGCACGTGAAGGTTTTCTGGTGCACGTGCTGGTACTTCCTATGGTGCTGGTGTGCGGGGAGAAGGGAGGTCGGGGATGGGAGGAGGCACATGGAGGAAGCACCAAGGGCCCCCGTTCCACCCCCAATGGAGCTTGAAGTGGGACCCATGGGGCCAACAAGTCCCATGGCTCCATGGGCAACCCAGCCTGCCCCATTCCCAGAGCACCCCCAAGCAAGCAACCCCTGCCCCCTGTGGACGCCTCACGTTCAGGTACTGCCGGTTGGAGAAGATCTTGCCGCAGCCCTCGAAGTCGCACAGGAGGATCTCGCGCTTGGCTGCCTTCCTATGGGATACGGGGGGGGAACCAGGTCAGGGAGGATGCTCCGGTCCCCCCCGGGGTGCTCCCTGCTGGAGGCTGGGTTCAAACACACGGGAAGGGGATGGAGCCCCCGGCCCCACGCACCGGATCCTCTTGGGGCCGATCTGCGCCACGTCCTCATCGCTCGCCCGCGCTCGTCTCCTGCAGCTGCAATGGGAGAGAAGGGGCTGGAGTGAGGCTCTTGTGTCCCCCCCAGTGAAGCCCCCACTGAAAGCAGCCCCTGGGCACCCTTTCCCTGCTGTTCCCTCCATCCTGGGGGCTTCCCCCCCATCCCAGCGGGAAGCGGCGCTGACAAATGCACCTCTGAGGCATTAGAAATGGGAGCACGCTCTTTATTGCTCATTGCAAGCCTTTCACATGGCTCTGGGCACGTCCCAGGACGCTGAGGGTGGTGTCAGGCTCACACCAGCCTCGTTTGAGCTATTTATCCACAGGGAATTCCGTCCTGGAATGAAGGAAAAGGGCGTTAAAAGCAGGACTGCTTCTATGGGGGGCAGAATAAAGAGGCTGCAATAGACAGCTCACCCTCAGCACGGGGCTGCGCATCCCTGCCCACAGCCTCTTCCAACACGCTTTGAGCTCAGGATGGGGTCACCCTTGGGATGAACACGCCAAGGAAAGGGTGGTCCAGCTCCGTTCTTCCAGGTGCTGCTGCAAGGAAAAGGGGGAATGAACCAAAGAGCATCCCTGTCACTGAATCCAGCCCGGAGCTCCGGTGGAATCAGGTGGGAGCTGGGGTCCCGCAGCACAGCGGCAGCAAGGGGAGGGGGAAAGCAAACGCAGCTTTACCATCACATCTTCCACTGCTGGGCCTGGGTCTTCACTCTTGCACCAAGCAGGAGATGTGACAACCGGAGCTGGAAGGAGGCAGGAAGGGCGCTGAGCACCACAACGAAGCGGGGACCCCGTGTCCCAGTGAAGGGGCTCCCGTGTGGAGCAGCGGG